GGCCAGCTCTGCCCCCAGATCAACCCCGGCTTCACGGCTCGGGGTGGAAATGGGGTGATTCCTGCGGAGGCGAAGGGGCGCAGGGAGGAGGAGCGGGGCGAGGGAGGCGATGCCACCGACCGCGAAATGTTGGCTTCTGATCTGTGGCTGCCGATCCAATTAAAAGGGTTAATCCCCAGAGATGCCCCCGCGGGGAAAGCAACCTCTAAGAAGTCCCCCACGGGGAGGCACGGTCATTAAGGCAGGCTCCTGGCACGGCCGGGTCTGGCGTATCACTGACACGATTGCAGGAGATTACCCACCGCTCGCAGCCCCATCCAGCCCCACAGCAAGTCCCTCCTTGGCCACAGGTCACCAGGCAGTGCTACGTGCCGAGGTTGGTCACCAGCCCACGTGGCCCCTGTGCATGTCCCCGGTGCTCCTCTGGGGTGTTTGTTTACAGTTCTGGGGGAAATGAAGGTCTCTCACACTGGCCAGCATTCAGGGCAAAACACGGTGAAGCTGTCTTCTTCCTCCCATGCCACTGCAGGGAAGGAAAAGCCAGAGGGCCCAAAAGGGCCCAAAAGGCCAGAGGGCTGGGGAAGGATGGCTGGAGAAGGATGGATGGGGAAGGATGGGGAAGAATGGAAGGATGGATGGAGAAGAATGGATGGGGAAGGATGGATGAGGAAGGATGGATGCGAAGGAATGGATGGATAGATGGATGGGGAAGAATGGATAGACTGACAGATAAATGGACGGATAGATAAATGGATGGATGGGGAAGGATGGATTGGGAAGGGTGAGAAACCCACCTAAGAAACCCATGGTTGCAGGTCTGCTATCTGAAGGAAGAGCTGAGCTCACACCTCATATCCCTGTTGGCTCAGGGATCACCTCAGATGGGTAAGAGCCCTTCCTGCCTCACCTCAGAGAGCAGAGAGGAGGCTTTTGGGTCTCCTCAGGTGGAGACAAGGTGTCCTGTGCCACCTGTGGCTGTGTCCCTCTGACAGCAGACACCAGTGCTGCTCCAGGACCAGTGCAAGGCAAGACTCCTCCAACCAAATCAGTGAAAAGCAACGTTGTCGCGTTTTTCTCTGCCAGGAGCCGGCAGCCGAGCTATGGCGCTTGGCTCCTGCTTAACTGGAGCTCGCCCCTTTGGTCTGCGTTGCCACAGCGAGTGAGGGGGAACAGCAGCCAAGGCGAAAATGTTTTACTGTTCAATATAAAATTTATGGGGTGACTTTTATGACAGCGTCCCAAAGCAGGGCTGCAGTAAAGGGATAAGTGAAAGGCAGCAGAAAGCCTGACACGCAACAACAGAGCGCTGGCAGTGGCGTGACGCCTGACGGGGGGAGAAGCTGATGCCGGAGAAGATGAGATGTTGCTTGATGGCAGCCAGGGCCAGGGGGTGCAACGGGTCTGGGAGATAAAGAAAGTTATGGGAGGATGGGACAGTCACATCATGCAAATGGCATCTTTGGAGCCTTCTACATCTTCCTGGAGATCCTCCTTCACTGGAGGAGAGGGATGCCATCCAAAGAGACCTGGACAGCCTGGAGAGGTGGGCCCATGTCAACCTCATGCAGTTCAACAAGGCCAAGGGCAAGGTCCTACATCTGGGTCGGGGCAATCCCAAGCACAAATTCAGGGTGAGTGGAGAATGGCTGGGGAGCAGCCCTGAGGAGAAGGACCTGGGGGTGCAGGCTGACGAGAAGATCAACATGAGCCAGCAATGTGCGATGGCAGCCCAGAAGGCCAACAATATCCTGGGCTGCATCAGAAGAAGTGTGGCCAGCAGGGCGAGGGAGGGGATTCTGCCCCTCTACTCTGGTCTGGTGCGACCCCACCAGGAGGACTGCATCCAGCTCTGGAGCCCACAACATAGGCAAGACATGGACCTGGTGGAGCAGGTCCAGAGGAGGCCCCAGAGATGATCAGAGGGCTGGAAGCACCTCTGCTGTGAGGACAGGCTGAGAGAGTTGGGGCTGTTCAGCCTGGAGAAGAGAAGGCTCCGGGGAGATCTTATTGCCGCCTTCCAGTCCCTAAAGGGGACTACAGGAGAGCTGGGGAAGGACTTTTTACATGGGCGTGTAGTGACAGGACGAGGGGGAATGGCTTCAAACTGGAAGAGGGCAGGTTTAGATTAAACATTAGGAAGAAAAATTTCACTTTAAGGGTGGTTGATAAGGCACTGGAACAGGTTGTCCAGAGAAGTTGTTGAGGTCCCATCCCTGGAGGTGTTCAAGGCCAGGCTGGACAGGGCTTGGAGCAACCTGGGCTGGTGGGAGGTGTCCCTGCCTATGGCAGAGGGGTTGAAACTCAATGATCTTCAAGGTCCCTTCCAACCTAAACTGTTCTATGATTCCTTTTGTGGTGAATACGCTCAGCACCAAACCCTCTTTGCTAGGACCGAGTTCAGTGCAAGGACAACAGCAACATCAGGAGCAGAGCATACCCAGTCCACCTCAGAGCATCTGCACCAGGGCAATGCCATTCGTGTTTCCCAGGAAGGGACCAGAATCATCTCTTGGTGGGAAGCTTCTTGGGATGATACTCCTTCTCCATCTCCACCTTGCATCTCCATGAAACCTCTCTCCAAAGAAACTCTCTCTTGCATATTACCGTTAATCTCCAAAACTCCCTGCCCAAGGCAAAGCTCAGCCAGGGGTCCAGGAAGACAGAGCACAGCAGCTCTGTGGTTACTTCAAACACGTGGTGCTTTTTAGAAGAAATATAGTGTACCGCTCTCTGGGAAGAGATTACTCCATGAGGGATACCAAAGGGTTTCTTCCAGCCGTGGAGAAGCCAGCAGCATCCACCACCCTCTTGGAGATGGTTGCGGAGCTCTGTGTGCCTGGCACTCAGCCGATTTGTACCCAAGAGGTCTCCTGCACATGTTTGAGCTCAGTGTAACCTGTACGGGCTCAGTAATCTATAGTGGGGTCAGTAACCCACAGACACCTGCAGGAAACCTCGTCTGGGCTGGGTGTGTGCTGGTTTTCTCCAGACCGACCCCAGGAACCCAACCGGGCAGCTTCATTTCAAACGCCTGCCGCTTCTGGGAAATGAGCGTAAACTGGGCTTCAGCTCTGCTTCAATTAGAGCACGCAAGAGTGCATTAATTAGGCTGACGAGTGAGGGGTCAGGTTTTGCCTGGGGACTGGCAGCATTCTCCCCGCTGGAGCACGGCTGCGGTCATGCCCACAGCTATGGGGTGAGAGAGTGGCTTTGCCCCTCTCCCTTTGCCCCACGCCAAGGGGGGACACTCCCAACGCTCAAAGCATCCCTGGACTTTTTCCCTGAATAAATTTAACCGGGTCGGCCCCATCGCCTGGATCATTGCACGGCTCCGGTGAGCGGTGCCGGGTCGGTGTCCAGTGGCTGCTCTGGTTATCCCCGGTTGCTCCTCGCTGTGGGTCCGCTGGAGCTGCGGACACTTTGCTCTGTGGCTTTTCTGTCCCCTGGCCATGCACAGACCTGGTTTCCATCCACTCCCAACGCTCAAAGCATCCCTGGACTTTTTCCCTGAATAAATTTAACCGGGTCGGCCCCATCGCCTGGATCATTGCACGGCTCCGGTGAGCGGTGCCGGGTCGGTGTCCAGTGGCTGCTCTGGTTATCCCCGGTTGCTCCTCGCTGTGGGTCCGCTGGAGCTGCGGACACTTTGCTCTGTGGCTTCTCTGTCCCCTGGCCATGCCCAGCCCTGGTTTCCATCCACATCCCGAGCATGTGGCAGCAACCGCTGGTTTTGGGGAGCATAACAAAGAGAGAAAGGGGAAGGCATGGCCATCCCCGGGGTGGGATCTGCTCACATTGATCCTTTTATAGCCCCACGTGAGTGGTTGCCTGTCCAAGAGAGAGCACCTGCACTCACTTAGCAGCTTGCCTGGGCGCCCGTCCAATGTGCCAGGACCTCCCTTTTCCTGGCCCAGGCTTGCCCCCAGCCTTCGCCTGACCCTCGTGCCCACCGCCAGCCCCGAGCTCCGTTTTCAGCCCCAAACCGGCTGCAGACCATTAAGCAAGTGGGGTGGGATGATCCCCTGATGATGAGCACCCGTGGGATGCTCTCTGAGTGCCTCCATCCCACCTCCCAACCCTGAGGACGCTGCCTGAGTGAGTGCAAGGGAATCAGACCCCACTGGGGTGGGGGGTCCCACCCCCACCAGGATGGGGGTCCCAGTGGGGCCCCCCCGAGTTGTAACACAGACCCTACAGGAAAGGAGAGCCAGCACAGGAGGCTGAATCAAGAGGACGCTTTAATCAGATTTATCAGACAGATCTGGATCTCCAAATAAATAGATTTATCAAAACAGAATAAAACAAGAAACCAGGGATAAATACATGTACCAAAACAACCTGAAAAATCCCCCAAAGCTATTTCCAGACAGGGGGAGGGCGACGCTGCTGCACCCCCTCCTCCCCACACTGCAGAAATGGTCCTGTTTGCCCTTTGGGAGATGCCCCTCCTGTGAATACAGCCCAGTAGATATTATGTAGGATATATATAAATATATAGCATAATAACATGCTTAGTAGCGACCTTAGTGCAGTGTTCGGGGTCTCAGACACTGTCAGGGGGTGGGTCCTCCCAAAAACTACAACTTCAAGTGACCTGCAAAGAAGGGAAAAGAATCCTCCCAGCTGAAACAGAGGAGAAGAGACCCAAGACTTTTCAAGAAATGCCCTTTGGAAGATATTCAGCCAAAGAAACCCTTTGCAGATCACAGGGGCTCCAAGAAAAGAAATAAGGATGATTTTTCTCTCCTTGCAGGTCATCTTTATGTCAGCGGTTGGTAAAAAGCATGGTCATGTTCTGCTTTACTGCTAGCTCCTGATGCTCTTCAGAAATGCCGGGGTGTCAGGAACATATCCCCAATCTTCACGTCGCACCAGGTCTCACATCTCTGCTGTCTCTCCTTCCTCTCACTGCGCACTCGACATCTTCGGTCTCAGGAGACGACGGCCAGCCTCTTCCACTCTCCCACTGGAGAGAGGCACCTCCACAGCTGTGGCTTCAATGTGGTTCAATTTGGTTCATTTGCTGGAGTTTCTGTAATTTACACTAGTGTATCCTTTATTGCTGTGCCAGTCTATTTAATAATGCAACTTTTTTTTTTCATATATATGTGTATGTGTGTATGTGTGTGTGTGTGTAGATAAATCAACAGCTAGGTTAAAGTGTTTTTCTTTACAAGTTCTTTGTTTCTTTCTCTGGGCTCTCTGTCATCCTCAACTCTGACGTCCGGGCTCGGAAGATGTTCCAGTGACCTGGATGAGCAGAGGACACTCATTAGCAACAACCCGTGGAGCAGGAAAACACAATTTACCCCACACATAGCACCCTCCAGACTGGAGAGGACCCAGGAGGACCACGCTGGGAGGGACATGGGGAGAATGGTCTACCCACAACGTTGGCCATGGCCAGAGCAGCTCATCAATGGCCCCATAGTCTGGTCCTAGACTTTACCATCTTGCAATTAAAATGGTATTTGAGGTCAAGAGGAGCCCTATAGGCCTCCTGCAGAAGAATCAAGAGCATAGAATCATAGAGTCTCTTTAGTTGGAAGGGACCTTTAAGATCATCAAGTCCAACATTCCCAATGTTTTCCCTGGAAACCACTCGCACGCTCTTAAAAGAAAAGGAACTCAGTCTGAAACAGGGATAAATGCCTCTCTTGGCCTCCTCAAAGGATGCTTGAATGCGAGCGGTTAGGGCCATGTCCTCCCCAGTGTGCCTGGGGTTCAGGTGGACTCCCTGCCTCTCAGGGGGAAGAAGCATTTTGCTTGTCCCCTGACTCACCATCAGAAAGCCGAAATTCACCTTTCGCAGGCCATGGGCAGGTAGGTATGCTTCTGTCCTCCCTTCTGTCAGCCCGTATCGTTGAGGCAGGTTGCTCAAAACCCCCACATTTATACTAATTTATTTCTTCTGCTGCTGCCCCACCCTTGGCTCTTTGTGCAGGGCTTTGCAACCACCTACAGCAGGGGAAGATCCTGCCGCAGAAGGAGAAGAAAGCCCCCTAGATCCCCTCACCCAGCCTCACCAGTGACCTGCAGACTCCCCGCAAAGCAAATGTGTCGGTGGGAGCTGGGAAACACCCCGAAAACAAGCACAGAGTGTCCCAATCTCTCTCCTTGCTCCCCCAAAACACCAGTATCCCCACGCGGGCAGGACGTGGCTGGAGGTGCGTTCCCTCTAGGTGGTTGCTTCCCATGTAATCCCAGCAAGGATTATGCAGCCCTAATGTCATCATCCCCGGGGGGGGGCATATTTTCTAGCTGAATTAATCTCCTGTTGTGAAGAAATCACTGGCCAATGCTTTCCTAGAACTTGCGGCAACAGCAGAGGGATGGTTTCCCAACAGAGCTATTTGTCGGGGGAAACTGAGGCAAGAAGCAGTGGGCACGTGCCAGAGAGCCCATCAGGTTGCAAAGCCCAATGTGGGAGCAGGGACTCAAAAATCCCCCAGGGTTTGGTCAAGAGATGTTGTCTCGAACGGATCGGAGGTGAAAACAAATCTCCACCCTCCCCGGGGCACTGGGTGTGCTGGTATGCACTGGGCAGCAGCGCCGTTCCCAGCTGACCCGATGACCTGTGGGTGCTGGACAATACGGGAATGGCTCCGATCCGAACCAAACCCATTAAACTCTAACCCAGCCCTGGCAAAGAGGCAGCCAGCGGGAAATAACACAGCAGTTTCGCTCTGCACAGGCACTCTCGGCATGTGCACTGGCATTCCT